GTTCCAATTTGGATAAAGCCCGGTGAGTGAGATGACGAGAATTCCCATGAAATGGGGATTCTGAGTCTGTGTCCAACCCTAATTCACCAATTTACTTGAGAGCTGCCGGCCCCTAGCTCCAAGCTTGGACTTGAAGCTCCAGAGAGGGAAATGCTGCATCTCACATCTCACTGGGAGGAATTGTGGCTCATGGCTGGGCCGAACACTCCTCCATCCTCCAGATGTATCCCTGGGGCTTGGCCAGCTTGTGCATCCCTGGGGGAGTCTCACTGCCTGGGGATGCAGACTGCACCCGCCTTCCTCACACCTTTCCCCCCACCCACACCCTGGTCATGGTGGGGACTGGTGTGAGAAGGAGCTGTCCTGGCTGCATTTCCATGCTCAGCTGCTTTGTTCATGGCAGATGAGCCTCATGGGTCCCATGCACCAGCCAGGCATGTTGGAGCCGGCTGGAGGGGACAGGCAGCCCTGTCCCTCGAGGTTTCCATAAGGAAGCCCCCACCCTTTTGGGCAGCTCAAGGCACCATGCAGCCCACCTTAACTGGCTTGCCACTTACTTATGAATATATCTGTGGTTATGTGGTTCCTGTGATCCAGCAACACGGTGTGTATTAACCATTAGACTAAAATTTGTGTTTTGAGAGCTGAAACCAAGGAGGAGAAGCAGAGCAGTTGCTGCAACAAGCCCAGGCTTTCAAACCAAACCCTGGTGCCCTACAGATGAGAACAGGCTTTTGGAGATTCTTTTTTTCACCCCAGGTCTTTCCTCATGAGTAAGATCCTCCCATGAATCCCCCACTACAACTGGCTCCTGCCCTGGGGGAACCTGAAATTCCATGAAAGCATCCGAGGGGCATCTGTCCATCCATCCCGCACCCCTGCCCCCTGGTGCCATGCCCGGGGGGGTGCGGGGCTGTCGCCTGCCCCCGGGAAGGGCCCCGTGTGTGACTGGGGGTTGAACCCAGGGGACTTGCAGGAAGCTCTACAGCGGATGGAAAAATCCCAGCGATCTGCCCTTTCTCTGAGAAGACATCTGAGCTGGGAGGTGTTTTTCTTTCCATCCAGTCAGCACAGCCGCTTGGAAATTTCCTATGCCGGCTCCCGGCTGTAATGTTTTCATAATGAAATGAACTGTCTGGCAAAGCCCCGAAAAATGATTCGCCAATTAGTGACTTACATCTTTCCTGTAATTCTACCTCATTAGCCTTTATTAAAAATAAATAAATAATAATAAAAAAGAGTCAGTCCTCAGGAGCATCTTGCAGAGTCCTCTGTTTCTTGCTGATGTTTCCCATTCGCTCTCCTCCCGCTTGGGTGCCCAGGGCTCCTGATGCAGTGGACACTGGCCCACAACACTCAGAGCTCACCGGTCTGGAGCCACATGGCTCCTGATCCCTCCAGTGCTGTGCCCTGTCCCTGAGGGCAGAACTGCGGGGAGCAGAGCGGACCTGAACTCAAGGTGCTCTAACATGGGGCATCTTCCTTGCCAGGTATAGACAGCGGAGCAAGCCCTCAGGGCCCATGCAGGTGCTCCCTGCTCCCCTGCACCATGACCAGGGGCTTTTCTGCCCTTTCTGGTGCTCCCTGCCTGCTGGCAGAGGGGCCTGTGGCTCAGGCGATGGAGGGAATGCTGACTCAGTGGCCAAAAGGGCTTACTCTGCAATGTGAGAAAATGCTAGCACAGCATTTTTTTTCTAAATGGTCAACTCAGCAGGTTGGAAAAACGTTGCTCAGCAGTCTGCAGAAACATCGAATCATTGGGTTGCAAAAACACTGGGCCGCTTGCAACTGCGACCAGCCCAGCCCCGCACAAACCAGTTCTGACCCTGCCCTCATTGTCCAAGGATGCAGCAGCATGGCATCCACATCCTAAATTTGAGGGGTCAAGTCCATCCTCTGCCCGTGTCAGCCCTCACGCTTGCCCCAGCCCAAGCCCCTTGGCTGGCCACCCTCAGGCTGCCCCATGCACCTTGAGCGCATCCCCAGCAGCTCTCGAGACGTTGAATAGAAAACAGCTATGGGAGCGGTGGCTGCTGTGGTAACCCCCCCAGATCTCCCGTGGCTGCGGCAGAGCCAGCGATTGCAGCCCAGCACAGGGCTTTCTGCAGCCTGGATAAATGCTGGGACTGGGTGCAGCAGTGCCTGGACCCTGAGCCTGTTGGGATGCTCCTGCTACACCTGTGCTTGAAAGAGAAGAGGATCAGCAACAGCACCTGCAAACTCACCCTTCTTCAGTGGCCCCAGCGCTTGGTGCTCATGAAGGAACTGGGAAACCAAAGTGTGATTTCTAAAACTCCTGCAAAATTAAGGATCCAAGCAAATGGATCCAGCTGAGTCGAAGCTTTAGGAAGGCTGCTTCAACACTGCAGCCCCCGCTCCTCGCCCAGCACCAGGAGTGGCGTCATCAAACGTGGTTTTCCCTGACGGCAGAGGAAGAAATGAGGCATGCAAGAACAGCACTGATGGCTCCTGCTCTCTCTACAGATGCTGTAAAAGGAATGGAGGGAAGGCTCCATTAAGCATGTGTGCTACGTGTATTCCTCTCATCCCGGAGAGGGTTTCGTGGCCTGGCTGATCAGCTCCAGCCGAGAGTGAACTGGACCTCTGCAAGTCTTTTTTTAAAGTCTGTTAAAGATGATGCGCATGGCCTCGGCCGGGAGACACAAACACAGCTAACACCACGACAGCCTGACCACGCTGCAGTTCTGAATTTATTAGAAACAGCTGTCAGTACATCCTTCTAAAACATTACATGTCAATGTGCTTTATTGCAATTTTTTTATTGCATTTTTTTTGATCTAGAGCAAGTAGGCCCAGGATGCTTAGTGTCTGGGATTTAAAAGCCCAACCATCTAGTAAAAGAAAGTACAGCAAAATTGTAACACACCTGGTGACAAGTACAGTGTTGCATTACTGAGCTAGAAACTACAGGATGAATTGTCTGAAAACACTAACATACAATTGGTTTCCTTATGAAGCAGTTTGTTTCTTTTCTTTAAAAGTTAAACTACATGAATTTTTTTTTTTCTTTTTCTTCCCAAAATGTCTCATCTTTATAGAAAAATTAAACTTTCTTAGAACTCCTCGCAGGAAGCTTTTGGTTCAATTTCCTTTAGTCAAGAGAAAGAACTAAATCTAGGATTCTTATTTTTTTATTAGCTGTTTGGTGCTGTAATAAAGTACGTTTTCAGTATCAGCAGTAGCAGGATGTGCTATACATGCTCAGAAGATGCAAGTCAGTAATTCAAACAACACTTGCATACTGCTTTTATAGCTGGCATTACAGAACAACACTTTGTTGTGATCCTGCACCACCTTTCATGCAGGATATTTTCAAAGACTGTTATTAAGAAAGCCTCAGAAATCATGCTAGCTGACATCAGTTGAGAACTTCACCTATATAGCTCGTTTATCATGCATGATGTAATAGCCTTAAATTAAGCCAGAAGCAGATTAAAGTGAAATATCATACTGCACATGGAATATTGACAGAATATATTTATTACCACAGACTGGAAATCTAGACAGCAGTAATGTTAGATTAAAATACTACCTCTCAAAGAATAACAACAACAACAACATCATTGTGGTCATAAAACTTATGCAAGCAAGGAACAAGAGTTTTTGAACAAGATACAGAAGGTAGCGACCAATTAATTTCACAAGAACTAAAAAAAAAAAAAA